TATTCATTTGTTAGAGCAACATGTAGATGAGACATAATCATTTTTTTTAAATTACAGCAAAAAGTCGGTATCGTTGGTCGCACGGGAGCTGGCTTCGAAAGTTCGATCATTCAATCTCTTTTCCGATTAGCACAGAACGAGGGACAAATTTTGATCGATGGCGTGGACATTGGGCTGATTGGATTGCATGATTTGCGAAAGAAGGTCTCGATCATTCCACAGGAGCCGGTTCTATTCTCCGGCAGTCTGCGATTCAATTTGGATCCATTTGGCGAGCGAAGCGATGGCGAACTATGGGATGGTGGATCGAATCTCAGTGCCTGTCAACGTCAATTGCTCTGTTTGGCTCGCGCCATTCTGCGAAATAATAGAATCTTGATTTTGGATTTCATTGAAAACAATCCAATTCTGTTGTTTTAATATTCTTCTTCGTTTCATGGCGATTGTTAATTAAGAAGACTGATTGAATAATATTCAATGAATATTGATTGTAATTTTGCATCATTTCAACAAATTAAAGAAGAACAGGAAGCAGAGTTAACCAGAAATTAAACGCATTTGTTTTCAATTTCTATTTGTTAGCTCCGTATAATTTTCATAAACAAAATAATTACAGTATTTTGGAATCAAGTGACCAATTAAGGCGGTTTCTAAAAGCTTTTTTCATATTTATTTCAATCCAACTTTAATTTCCAACGTTTTCTCATACAACGAACATATTCGAATCGAATTCCAGTGAACCCCAAGCTTCGGTATACCTACGTTGGTCATTTGAGAATTCAATCGTAATGACATTTCTCTGAATTCGCCCGTTTTTTGTATGTGCGCATTTGTTTGGTGTTATGCAGCTGTTTTGACAGTTCCATCTTTCGCCCAGACTCACACATGCGACGCGCAGTCACATCATACTGCCTATTTATGCTGACAAACAGAGAGCGAAGGTTAACGATAACACGTTGTATTCACATCCACAAACACGCACACACTCACACAGACTTCGAACACATACAAATCTCAACGTCTGGCTGTCACTTTGTCTAGAGAAACGAAAATAACAATAAGCATACAACGGAATTTGTACAGCTTCCAGATTAACTTGGGCGATTTGCATATATATATATTTATTTTGTTGTTTATCCATCATTGCAATTGATCTGCCTGAAATTTGAATACGGCGTGAACGTGTGGAGGCGAAAATAAGAAGTGTGTAAGAGTCAGCAAAATTTTCGGATACAAAAACGGAGCATTTGATGTTGCTACGCAAAACGTAATTGAAGTGACGAAGTTGATATGGCAGCAACACGAATACCTGAACAAAAATTGATTCTCTGCGGAGAGTATGGAGCTGGAAAGAGTTCGATATTCCGTCGATATACCAACAATTCATTTGTAACGAGCACAGACCGTAGTTCGACACTTGGACTGGACCATTTTTCGAAAAGTTTCACGGCCAACGATCGGGAAATGAAGGTAATGCGTAACACTCGATGAGCGTGTGACACACGCCATTTGTTTTGTTTTTGCGATAAGAAAATTGTAATTTTGCGTTCAATTTTAGCTCGCTCTTTGGGATACTGGTGGTATGGAGCGCGTTGCTTCGGTCACATCTAGCTACTACAAATTTGCGGAGGGTGCTATACTTGTGTTCTCGTTAGACAATGCCTCCTCATTTCACGCATTATCACAGCACTTATTAGACATAGTTTCGTATGCTGAAAATGCCAAAATCTTTTTGTGTGGAAACAAATCGGATTTGGTCGGGATGGAACCGCAGGTAATTCAGCATTTGATGTGAATTTTGAACGAATTTGACATTTTTCATTTAATCTTTACCCAATTCAATTTGTGATTACAGGTGACCGAGGCCGATATCGAAGACTTCATTGAACAATGTCAAAATCTAATCAGTGGCACATTCAAAATATCATGCAGAACCGGCGAAGGTGTTCACGAAATGTTTCAAGAAATTGCCAACATTCTGACACAATCAAATCGATCGCGCCTCGAATTACAATCGTTAGAGCACCATGGATTCAAAGTAGATCAGACAGAAACCAACCAAGATAAATGCAAATGCTGAACTGAGATTTCGGCTCGCCTATCATCATTTTGCCGATTAAGTCAAACACCAAACCACATTCAATTAACCACAAGAAATAATCAACTAATTGTGAACATATTTGTGTGTTTTTTCATTTCACCTTCAAATCGTGTTTTGATTTGTTTTTCATTTTATGTTGTTATTCAGTTCATGATAAGCAAATCACATCGAGCATCACCATTCACCATGCAAATTGTTACCATTTTTTATCAGACTATGATTAGAATTAGCTCATAAGTAATATTTATCATGAAACGTACCCATTTTGTATATTGTATATACTTGGACAAAAAAACGACTTTTTTTGCACATTAAACATTGAACTAATCCAATTCTAAATGTTTGCTTCTGACTCAGAAGTTCTGAGAATTAATCAAAAAGGCGGTTTTTTTCCAGAGTTTGACTCAGGCGACAGATATATGCTTTAGCATAGAAAAAATATCCGCATATTTTTTGGTTTGTCCACTTTCAGTATATAACGGCACACAGCTTCATCGAGTATCAGCACGCACACTGAACGTGGTAGTATAGGACGGTTTGTTTACGAAGAAAAAAAATGTTTATAAACAAAATCTACCAGAACTATACAGCGCAAAACCTTAACATAGGACAGCATTGCTGCCGTTCAAATACATTACACTGTACAACTCGGGAAGATTTTGTTTATAAACAATTTTTTTTCTTTGTAAACAAACCGTTCTATACTACCACGTTCAGTGTGCGTGCTGATACTAGATGAAGCTGGGTACCGTTATATACTGAGAGTGGACAAACCAAAAAATATGCGGATATTTTTTCTATGCTAAAGCATATATCTGTCGCCTGAGTCAAACTCTGTTTTTTTCAGAATTTGAGCTACGAAGTGGGAACTAATTTGAAATAGATCATATTCAAAATGGAAAAAATAGCAAATTTTCATCAAACCAACGCTGGTGGTTCATTGGAGACCAAATCAACATTACCAAAACCAACGCACGTTGACCTTTCACATACTTTTCAATGAAGATTAAATAATCTTCTGAATTATTAAGCAATTGATATCAACGATATGTTATCAATTGCTCTTTTATTGCTCGATTATTCCATCGGCTCTGTTTCAGTTAATCTCAACGGACCTGAAAATTGGCTATAAAATGAAAATATCGATAAGTTTTCACATAAATATGAATAATTAGTCCCGGTTATAAAAGTAAGTTTTAATTTGTGATGCATAGAGCTGTTCTATCAGAGCATACAATGAAAAAATGGTCCGCGTTCATTCACTTGGGAATGTAAACACGTAATTGAATCGTGCCGTTGAGCACTTTGACTGCCATTAGGGACGACGTTCATGTTGATTGCAGTAGGTCGTTTAATTTTATTGGATGACGAAAATTATTTTTATAACTTGATTATCCAATTATTCGTAGAAATATTCCAAAATTCAATGAAAAAAATATGTTTTTTTTTTCTCGAATTTCTTATTCCGTTGAATTTTCATGTGCCTTATTCTGGCATTTTTTTAATCTTCTACGGAATTTCTTTTTTACGCAACCAGACGAAACATAGAAAAAAGAATGGAGATGAAAGATTATTCTCAACTTGTATAAAACAAAACTTCCTTAAAAATTACATGTTTCAATATCACTCCTACAGAAACAAAGGGTCAATGCTCTTTTAATTCCAACATTACTCACTTTGTTTCAAAATTTTAGTCTGCAGAACTATA